CATTCTTCCATACCGACCTGCCATACACTTACGGTAGAATGTTGTCACCATATCGTTATGATAGAATTTCGTCACACCTGAAGTACGAAAACTGCAACGGGGATACAACCCGATGAAGTCTCTGAAATAGGCCATTGATCGTGCTCGTCGTATCGAGGACTCGGAATGACCAGTGCTGTTTCGGCAACTCACTCCGTACCATCCGCATCCACTCGCCCCACTCCTGTCATGCAGTTCCACACAAGTACGACTACCTACCATCACACGGCAGCTTGGAAACGTCCCATGACAGTATGGAAACGAAGAGCATACGAGGAAACATATTCCTGAGGCCCTTGGACGGACGCATCCAAATTATGGGCTTCTTCCTCAACAGAGTTTGCCGGGAGAAGCGAAATAGCAGCAACACGGAACACATGGCATCCCATGTAGTTGGAGGGAGAAACGACCCTTTGTCCTCTGGTTCAGACAAAAGGTGCTGTATCAGAGTCAGCACCTCTCCTATTCCCACCAGGGCAACGTGTTTCAAGGCGACTCTATATCAGCGAACGACGGGTCTTCATTGACGGCTGCGGCTTTCACCCCTACCACCGTGCCAAAACGTTTCAGTATTTCGATTGACATTTTCAGAATGGTCTCCGGTCAGCGTGGGAACGCTGTGGAGGTCAGCGGCTGATATGGAAACGGGAGTTGCTTGTAGCAACGTGCGAACCAGTTGTTACAGCACTAGATGCAACCGGTGACGTTGAAGTGACAGGTGGTGCTACGACGGGCGATTGCCCAACAGCATATAGGTGCAACTGGTGCCGTTCAAGTAGTCGTGCTTACGGGTACAGTGAGCAACAAACTCGGCGAAGGATTTATCCACTCGATGCCTGCGCTGACCGAGCAAACGGTATTGCTCCAGGGGACAAGGGTGTCAGCCCAGGCAACAACGGAGCTAAAAACGGAATGCTTGAGCTCATCGTTGGCGAGATAGAAGTGCTACATGTAGTAGCATCCGCTCCACGGGCTCCGGACGACGCAGTTGACGCGCCTGCGCCAGATGATAGGGCAGCCACCGACTCTTGGAGGAGACGTTGTTGCCACGCGACGGGCGCTGCAGAGAGCGTGGGCGGGGTCTGCCCATGGCGCAAAGCTCGGAAGAACATCTTCCCTTCCTCCTTGCACGCTG